TTATAAGATTGTCATCGTAGACGTTAAGCATAATATTAATTTAATCGAAGTTTTTACTTTTAATATATTCATTACTGAAAGAGGTCTCGGATTGCAATCGTCAAAGTCTTTCCTTTCAATTTGCACGTTTCGTGCTTAAGAATGTCAATTTTAGGGATCCACGTCACAATATTAAGCCTCCTACTTTGTATATAAGAAAACGTGAAGTATCAAACGGTAACGTAGTTTAAATTTAACTAAATTTTCAAAGCGCTTAGCTCCAAATGGGCTTCTAATTTAAAAATCATTCATAAATTAAATCTTACAGTTGTCTCTGTCCCTACTGTCAACGTATTATACGCAGTACGCTTTAAAAATTAATATAGATTTATTAGATGATCATGAGTATTGTTAATTTTAAACCTCGCTGCTGCTGTTCCTGTTGTTACAACAGCAGTAATACCTATATGAAAAAGTATCCAAAAGTTGTGACAAGGCGCTTTATTGGCGGTTTATAACTTATTTATAAGCTGTACTGCCTTGTATCTGCAAAGGGATGGTCCATATATTTTAAAAAATGCGGGTCCTTCTTAGGTTTTTTCTAGGTGCCAAATCGCTACCTGTCGAAAGGTACGTCTTTGAATTTAGTTTGTTATTACCTCATTCTCGCAAATTGGGAAATCACCCGAAGTTTCAGTTTTTAAGATATTGAGTTCGTTCTTTTTGCTTTCGATAGCTCTGGCACCTCAATATATCGCACCTAATTTTACCGGTCCCGTTATGAACATAATCCAAACTGTTTTGATGGCCCCAAATATTCTATCGGCAATGGTCGCGAAAAGCTTCCTCCGGCAAGGGGTAGGAATCTTCTTATCTTGTTTAAACACCTATAGTTTTCAAACCAATGTGAACCCGTGAAGGAATAGATCGTTACATGAGTTTTCCAGGAGATACTGATCGATTCATAGAAAATGCGCTAATCTTACTGACCGTAAAATGGAAACCTTTTTTCATTTTTTTAAGTATCAAAGCTTACTTTCCGAACCGGCTTATTTCTAAAGCACTTCGGAATTAATATTGTTCATTTGTAGTCAAATGACATTTTAAAGCTTCAACTTGCGAACTGTAGTCTCCTGATTCTTCTCTCTTTACTAGTTTTGACCTTTTTTGCATTTATGAAAAGAATACTGCTACAGTTTAAGACTTGCTTTAGTACAAATTCCGTTTATTTACTCGTACTGCAATTAGTTACAGTCTAGTTGGTATGTAAAGTACGTAATACACGATCATAGTTTACGTATTGACAAAGTGAACGTCTAGTGTATTGTGTCTGGGATGTTTGCACATATCGAAAATGATGAAACAGTTTTATTTGCAGCCATGGCAGTTCTTCCCTGGATTCCCAAAATTCGAATTTTGGGAAATATCGGGGTATTTACTTGAAACTTAATGTAGTTCTAAATAAATTCCTATAAAACTGTCTTATTAGTGCTATTGTATCCCTACAGTTCCACAGTTTTAGGTTTCAAAAGTTATTAGGTCTATTTACATCTACAAGTTCTAGATATATGCTGCAAATCAACCCTGTATAAGGTACGACAATAAAAAATTATCGCAAATATGCCTTTTTCCATTTTCTATTCCATTCAAATGGATTTCGCTTGCAACATATTTATGATAAACACTCAACTCAGTTATTTCAGGCATTGGAAGTTTGGCAGAATTGTGCCAGAGGGTGAAGCTGCGTTTAAATAGCAGTTAAGCGATCTTAATCAACTTATATGATGCAAACGCACAATTAGACATTCAAAATTGCCTATTCTCTTGTTTAGTACTTCATGGAAGCAATTTGTCAAAGCTCTTTTGACTAAAACACATGTTTCACGATACACAAACAGCGGATCTCAAACAAAATAAATCATTATGATATATATCCAAAATAAATATTACAAGTAGTCTGCTTTAACCTTGGTAATCTTCAAATATTTCACTAAAGACTCATTTCTTTGTGTTGTAAGAATGCGCTATTTTTACAATTATCATAAAACCAAGAGGTAGTGAGTTAAAAATTTGTGTTAGTAGGTCTAAACATTGACGCGTTTTACATTACTGACAGTAATATTAGCTATTTTTTCATGTGGAGGTTAAAATATTAGCAAACATAATTATCGTTGGCAGTTCAGTGCATCCATGCCAAAATGCACATATCGTAAATCACTTATAATTTTTGACAAGTTGTATATCGCCCTTTCTGTGTTTGCGCCTGCTTTGAAATTAAACAAATTATGATATATTAGCAGCAGTTGACGCTTTTATTACTTTTTTTATAAGGTTTCTACGTTTGATTTAAAAGAAAAGGAAAAAGTGGGTTGTACAAACTTGTCATCGAATTAGTGCGCCATTGTGTCCAAAAGGTGCGAGGTGAAGAACTTTTACGGCACAGTTTGGCAAGAAAAGTAAACTTGGCAAGATTCGGCAATATTTTATTTCGTTTTATACTGCAAATTGTCGGTTCACCTAAAACAAAATGTTATCATTAGCGTTACACATAAAATTACTCAGCTTCCTGGCGTCAATAATTGAAACGAGGAGTGAATTTTATTTTCGAACTTTCTCCTGAGCGAGGCGGATATTCAAAAATTTCAAAAATGAATAACGCTCCTAAAATACCTCCTTTGTTGAGAGAAACAATAATGTGTGGTTATAAAAACGGGCGAGTAGCCAAATCAAGTTAGGCAATATTTATTTTTCGGAATACAAATCTTCGGTTTCACTTGTAATAATAACAGAAATTACTCACGGCGCTTGAAAATCTGTGTACAGTTATGAATTTTTGGGATCTAAGGAAGTGCTCGCCTATAAATAAACCACGCAAGCAGGTGCTAAGCACTTTATCATTCAGAAGATGGCACTTACATTTCGCATACAGGCGTCGTTTTACAATGTAACAGACTTAACCTGCTATTGACCGACTTTATAGCGAAGATTGAAAGTCAATGTTAAAAGAAATCTATTTCAGATGGGCTAAATAGGTTTATGACTAAATCCAAGGGGTACTAGAAAAAATCCAAATTAATTACTGAAATTTATTTACTGCCCAAAACTACTAATTTCATCTGTCACACCCCAATTTATTAACTTAAATTGTTAATTGGAGCAAAATCTACATCTGCACGCCTTTGGTCTCCAAAGTTTCCTAAGACCGGTGTTAATTTTAGCAACCTTAAGCAATGCAAGAACTGGGAGCATCATCAATTTTGACATATAAAAACGTTGATGGTAATTTACCAATTGATTACTAGTAGAAACACGTGTTGTTCCAAATATTTGTTAAAATTTATTGATGTTTTTAGACATTTGACTAAAAGATATTGCTAATGTAGGTTTATGGTTAGTTAATTGGTTCTGATTGAAGAGCCGAAGTTTTCATGATTAATTGATTCCGTCTCCTTTATATCGAACTAACTCGAACCTTCCAGCTTCCAATTTGGTTTCAAATCGGTACAGCAATCCGTGAAGTTACGGCAATTTACTGTAATTTTGTGCCCATTTTATGCTATTTTTGCAGTACGTATATACAAATTTTATGCTTCTACCGTCTTCGAGTTTTAAAATCTGACTTTCTTTTAGAGTAATTCAGTTCTTGATGAGCGTAAATTCGATGATCTAAAGTTTTCTCTTCCCCTACCAGCTGCCTTCGGTTACGATTTACTAGAAAATATTATTGACCTGAAACTTTTTAAAACAAAAAAGAACCATAATACTAAAAAACTACGAAATCTGTATCATGCGGCAATAGCACAAAATTTGTATAATGCGCCAAAATAGCACACAATCTAAGCCAAAAATATGACTAAGGAATATAGACGTAGAGTGTCCCGTTATACAAATGTTAAAGGTATAGATACAGCAGCTCCTATTCCACGGATATCCTTGCGATATTTTTAGTAGAAATGTAGTACTACTTGAAGATTCCCAACGGCGAACTGAGTCGATTATTATATGGGAAACTAATACGGCATAACGGCCGAAAACCTCAAATCGCAGAAATGCTTATGGATTGAGTATCCTATGCTTAAAGCTACCACACATTTATCTATTTGATCATTAAACATTACCAAACCTAATTACCTTACTCCGGTCTGAAAATGTTAAGCAGTAGAGCATTTAAATTTAAAGCAGACGTGGAGTTAATTATTTAAAATTATTTCGGAAAATGAAAAAAGTCAATAATCAAGTTGTAGGGGGAAATAAGAATTGGGCTCTCCAAAATTGTGAAATGACTGAAGTATCCAGATGTGCCTTCTTTTATTAGATTATACTTCCTGAAGAACGTTACCTGCACTTCATGCAAATAAAGAACGTATGGATGTTTTGCGACTTAAAAAACATGGTGGCTTGCGTTCATATTTTCTTGCATAGAAACCTGTAGAATAATCCAATAAAATTGCACACCATGTGTATACGCGAATTTCCCACATTTTCTGGTGCTCGAACCCAAAGTACTTCGGCCCGAGATACAATATCCAATAGGGAAACTATGAGTTTTAACAAAACGACACAAATTGGAAAATCAATACTTATCAAATTATCCTGTCGATGCAGATGGAAGCAAATAAGGCAAATCATTTATCCACGAGTACTTACCACTTCTACCTTTAAATTCATACTTTAAATCACGCAGGTGTACCTCGCACTTATAAATAAAATAAGTAAATAAATATGATTTCATTTTCTTTCAACAACATAATATATTTTTTTAATCCTTATAATGAGTTGCCAAAATATCACATGGTCGATTTAGAATCTTTTAAGTCACATGCTATGAACGTTCTAAATGAGCTGGGCAAATATAAATGTTCCAAAATATTTTTTCTGCGCATACAAACATCGGCACCCTTTGTGCTCCTTTCACTTTGACACAATTAACCTTGAGTCTTGGGAACATTTCCGTTTGATGTTGTTGATAAATAGACAGGTAGCGAACTCTTACAAGTTATTGACTTCTGCTTCTCTTTCAGCTTTGTCAGTGCGTTTCTTAACAAGGCGGTACATTGGGGAATACGACCATCAATCAGGTAAAAAGCGCTTCATTCACTAAATGCTTTTACCACATGTGCTGTTGTATGTAAATATAGAAACTATTAAAATTTTTATTAAAGATTAAATAAACTAACGAAGTGTAGCATTCAATTTTCTATGTAAACGCGTATTATTTTTAACTTCTGGTATGTAAAACATTCTAGGCAATACGTATTTGTAAAAGGTCATAAATTGACGATTTGCAAAAAAATTTGATAAACCCTTAAAAATTTGTTCCAGCTTACTGCTTTATACAGAGTGTCTCAAACTAGTAAATCAAAGGCTTTTTTTGGAAATAGGCTCGGACACGTCGAGTAGTATTTTAAACCGCGCTCTTTTTCATGTAATAAATTTTTATACAGTGGAGGAAGAATCAGACATAAGGACAAGTAGCCAAGGGGTGGAGGAAAAGAGGACAGAAAGTAACGTAGGAAGAGGACAACAATAAAAAGGGTCTAACACGAGGGAAAACAGGGAAGGGAACGAGACCAAAGGATAAGGACATCGGAAGCCAATGAACGCCCGGAGAAGAAGCTATCACTAGAAAGCAGAGTTCCCTCTAAGGCAGATATACTAGTAGCACATATTAAAATACTCTAGCGAAGCTGTGGCCGTACCCGTTCGAGTCGGATATCACCCAGTTAGCCGCCCCCTTCCCCCATAACGCCCCCAATCCAAAAAATCCACCACATTGTTTGGCATATGTCGCGGCCCAGCGCGATGGCAGCAAAAGTAGTGGTGAAAGCCCCTGATAGTGCCTACCAGGGACGCATCCCCACGACAGTAGACTAAATCCTGGGAGAGGCAGCGATGCCAGGCATATGTCAAATTTCAAGTTCAAGTATCCCAAATGTAAGATATTACGTCATCAAGTATTTTTTAACGACAACCCTGCATAAAATTCTATTACATCAAAAAGAGCGCAGTTTAAAATACTAATCGACGTATCCGAGTATATTTCCGAAAAAAAACCCTTAACTTACTAAATATAATCCATGTTAGAGACTCACCTTCTATATTAGTTTGCGGTTTAATTTTTAACAATTGAAAATAGATAGCTTTGATGTGATGCTAAGGTAGGAATTTATAAAATATTCGGATTGACTATAAATTGGCATGCACCATTCCATAGAAAAACGTTTATTGTTAAATGCTCCATTTCAATAAAAATAATTTTCAAACCTAGTTGTTTTTGATAGGGAACGTAATGAAGTCGAGAGAGGCTATTTTAGGGCTGCACTTACATAGGAATTTTCGATACGTAGACAGCGAATATTATAATTTTTCTCTACGAATTCGCGGAATTATTAATAATAAATTGTAATTGTGCTTTTAGCTTGTTCGATTCACAACTCGCAGTGTCGTAATGAAATAAATAATGTATGTTTAAGATTAGAAGGGAATACGCCAAGGATTCTTCTTTTAGATTCGTCAACTTCGTGATGCTCTTGAGATTCTTCCAAACCTTCGGATTTACCGAATTATTTGCATTCTTCTGATACCTCAGCTGCTTTATATTATTTGGATTTCGTTTTTTTTTACTTCTCTTTGATTTGTATTCAATTCTTTAACACCTTTCATTTCTTTGGATGATTGATAGTTCAGTTTTAGGGTCATCAAATTTTTCAATTTTCCTTATTAGTTAGATTCCTTAGGTTCCTCGGATTCCTTCATTTCTTTGGATGTTTCAGGTTGTTGCGATTCTTCGATTGTTTCCTGATTTTTCCGTTCCTTCAGGTTCTTTAGTTCCATTAGAACCTTCGTATGTTCTATAAGTTGCCTCAATTTTTCAGTTTTTACAGTTATTTCCATTCTTCCGAATTCCATATTATTCGATTTTTCAGATCTTTGTTCCTTGGAGTTCTTCCATTTTGTTAAATTTGTATCACTTTTCAGATTCTATGGAATATATGGATTCATCATTTGAGTCATCGATTTATACCATTTTTTGAATTCTTCCAATTACAAATTCCGAGAACATCTTAGACATTAGGTGCCTTTTTTAATCCTAACGGTACAGCGCGAGTTGAAATTAACTCATGGGTGTAAATTACTATGTTAAATGCTTCGTTTTCATTACCTATAAAACCCCAAAAAACGTCTACCAGCAGATTCCAGTGTTAGGGTTGCAACGCTAATTGCTAAAAGTGAGCAGTAAGGAAAATGAAAGTGTTTATGAACTAGACGAATTATAATTTTTTTAACCATTAGCAGTTGTTGTTCCCACTTACAGTCGCATAATGCTTTGGCAACAACTTCTAGTGTTGACTGACTTGTATGTCTATTTGTAAATTTTGCTAACTTAAGTACTATTTATGACATCCATATAACGCAACAATTGATTTAGTTCAGAACATGCAATTTTCTTTTCTAATTTACAATATTTAATTATTAGTACCTAAGCTTAACATCCACAAAACACAAAGCAAAATATCATTTATTGACAGATGCCATGACATCCAATCCATTTATTGTACAGAAAATGATCACCTGACACAAGAAACTATTATATTATGTATGTACTATTAATATCAGGAACGATAAAACAAATTATATAATGAAATGTACATCGTGCCCTTACGAAGATTTTCTATAAAACGTGCCAAATTAATTGATTTGACGAAATAACAATAAATACCAAATAATTCTTTTCAAAGTTAAAAAATTAATAAAGGCCCAAAAAGGTTTAAACTAAGGACTGTATTGCTCGAAATGACTTCCATACAATAATACAGTCTTTACTAAAACCCAGGACTTATATAAGCACAAAGTATATTTTAATAGGATAGAGAAATTTGCTTGAAAAATGCGAAAGTATCGACCACCAACGAGATGTCAAGCTTCAGTTTGGTCAAACGCGCTCATGATTAAAAGTTTCACTAAAACTCATGAAAACCCAGAAAATGTTGTGATCTTCGTAGACGTCTCTCTCAATACACTGTTGAATTGTTTGGGGTAAACTATCCCTCATACGACTATGTCAAATTTAATTCCCTATTTAAGTTGCATGAGAAAGTAGCAATTTTCACGTTGTGATGTGTGAGTATAATGTTAACGTACAAAAATATATTTCCAAAACGATGATAGACAAATAGACTAAACCTTCAATTATCAGCCTCGACTTTTCAACATAAACAAAAGTCAAATAAAAGCACTCCCACTAGAAAAATAACGCAAACACAACTTACTTTACCCAAAAATAGGATTTTATGACTCGTATATTAAAATTCAGTTAATTTTTATATACATTGCTCAAAAATAACTTGCCTGCAATAAGAATAACAAACACTACGTTCGCATTTGCTTGGTGTTGATCTTTATACTGTTATGTTCTTGTTTTAGAGACGAGATATAAGCACGAGGTCCTTATTGATAGTGAACCTATTCTATTTGAAGTCTTGGACACATGTCCGAAGGTAAGTAACTGCCTCGCAATTTTCCGAAATTAACCTTTGAGGTATTTATCATTCACTGCGTTTACGACTTGTAATGTCAGTTAAAATTTATGAGTATGTGTTATGCGATTTGCACGTCAAAAGCTGTAAATTAGAGTTGATGGTTTAATGTCCGATTTCTGCTTGCAGAACGAAGATGATCTACCTTCCTCCGAGGTGCTTAATTGGGCCGATGGTTTGCTGTTGGTGTATTCAGTCATCGACCGTCAGACTTTCGCATATGTAAAGAAAGCGGGTTTGATATTGGCGAACTGTGATATTCCGGTGTATTTGCTAGCGAATAAGTGCGACATGGTGCATCTTAGGCAAGTTAGCTATGATGAGGGTTCGATCTTGGCGCGAAACTTCGAATGGGGATTTTCGGAGGTTGCCGCTGCCGAGCAAGTGGCGCCTGTCGCTGCTGCATTTCACGATCTTTGTAAAGCCGTCTTGTTGTCTAGAAGAAAATCAAAGCAGTCGCTACTAGAAAGAATGTTAGGCGCTAAATCGAATTCCGTTAAGCTGTACGTCAGAGGGAAAAGTGATAGTGTATTACCAAAGGACTGATAGTGATCATCGGCAGTGAGAAACTTTGTACATATTTTAAATGCCCTCTTTATAATCGTTAAGTTCTGTAATGTAGCCCTAATATTAAATGAAAATTTGTACTGTCATTAGATATTCGCAATCTTTGTGCAGATTTCGTTTAACAAGATACGAAGAATCGCATACGATGTTCAGTATGGGATTCGGAATCACGGCTAATATTCAATAGCGCTGATCCTTGAACTCGTAGAAATCTATTGGCTAAGGTTAGACACCGTTCTGGAGTTAGACAAGGAACAGACGGACGGACCGACAAAACCATCACATAAAAGGCGCAAAGGCAAAAAAATCAGAAATTATGCATCCGCAAAATATGTTATTTAGGACGGATTCGGATGCAACTAGGTCCGTTAACGAAAAACGTAAAAACCGGCTCCTTCCACCCCCCTCCCGCCTAACGCAGAAGACCCACGGTTGGGGACTTTTGGAATGTTATTCCTAAGGGTCAGCCCTACAACTTGAAACAATGATCCGTTGAGCACTATTGGTTTCCGAATAGAGGGATTTTTCGGTCCTCGTTTCCTGGCCTACCATGGCACACTTTGGTTCGGAACAGTACGTTGTTCCACAAATTGGCTGTGACATTTGGTGAAGGTCAATAAAAGATTCTACTTTTTTCGATAAGGTATCCTGTACCTACTTAAATAGTAGCATATATCCTAAAAGAAACGAAGAAAGGAAAATTTGTAAAGCTAAATTAGGAGATTCAGTTTATTTATAACGTTACATCCTTATCAATACTTTACTTACATTTTTTAACAATAATTACACCATGCCGAAGGACAGTGCAACTTAAATAAAAGTAAAATGATGCCTGATTGAATGGCACTAAGTTTCTACCTTATCTACTCTATCGAACGAATTATCATTATCTTTAAAGTAATTGTTTGGTATAAGTAACATTTAAATAGACTCTTAAAATTCTAATCACATATCAGTTCTGTGTGAATTTCATTAGCCTCTCCTTTGTAATCTTTTGTTTCTAGAAACGTCTAACCCATTTTGCACAGCAAGGCAAGGCCAAGGAATTCACTAATTATTCTTTACATCCAGTCGTGACCACCTAAAACTATTTACACGCTTAAATTTAGTATAAATAATATTGTAAAATTGCGTCTTCGTGTGTCCAAAAAAGAGAAGCTATTCTTCGACTTCTAGGGTGACTATCATCCAAGGTTGTCAATATCGCTTGTGCTCCCTGTGAGATGGGGGTCTGGAGTCTCGCCAGTCCCGTCCTTCCTTATGTTGTCGAATGTCGTGGTGGTGATGGTGGTGATGGTGTCTCTTCTTCTCGCCTGATGACTTAGGTGGACTGTTGAATGCGGATGAGTCGTTTACGACCAATTCGGAACCGTCGCGGTGACGCTCGCCGTTTCGGTATGGTTCGTCCAGCGTCTCTTTTCGTCTAGTCGGCGATTGATTGTCGGCGTTCGCGTTCTTCAGGCCGGACTTGCTACCGGCGGATTCGTGAAGATTCTCCCACGCCTGGCGGTAATATCGATTTAGTCCGTTCCGCGATTCGGAGCTGGACGAGTCGAATGACGCTACTGTATTGCAATCGGGCGACGCACGATGGCGGTAATGTTTGGCACTTCGATTTCTGTAATTACAACAGTTACCATCCCATGTTGGTGCATATCCAAAAGCGTTAAAGCGTTTAAAGTGCGTTGTGCGGTGCAGTGCGGTTCGTACCTTAAGATTAATAATAAACTGCTAAATTGGATTGGAGAAGTATCCAGCTCGATGTGTACGATAGTTGCGTGAAAATTCCCTACGGCCTATTTGTTGGTCAGGGAAAGGAAGTGCCAAAAGTGTGTACCATCGTGATGGCATTGCACTTGCGGCCGGTAGACGATGCGACGATCGTGCCGAAACGCCCGCACTGCGACCGCACACAAAGTTAAAGGAGAAATGACATGACAATGCTACTAGGGACTAACCTTCGTACTAGTATCACCACGGTTGTAACAATGGCTGCCAGGAAGATGAAACCTCCGAAAGCTCCAAGCGCAATGATAGCTCCCAAGTTTAGCCTTGCTCCAAAGGCTTCGCGTCTTTCTCCATCGACTGAAAGCGGTACATTAACTGTAGGAGTATTGCTCTGTTGCACATTAACACTGCTACTGGCAATTTCGTTGTCCTGAGGATGCCCGGCTATGATTATTTGAGGTGTCTTGGGGATTTTGGTTGTAGTTGTCGTCGTTTTCTCGGTGGTAACCTTTTTGACTCGTTCAGGAATCGCTCTTATTGTAGTTGGAAGGTGCGACTTTGAGGGTTTCGTCCTTATCTTCGTCGTGGTGGACTGAGTACTACTGTTGGTTACTGGAGCAGTTACTAACGCTGGGGTTGTTGCGTCTTCTAAAAAACCAGGCGAGTTTTAATTTAAAATTGGCTGAAATTAGCCACTTACCTAAACACGTAGGTGGTAAGTGATCATATTGCCCATTAGCCATGCAGGTTATTTTCCGAGGGCCGCTAAGTTTAAATCCAGTATTACACGCATATTCGATGACGGTTCCGAAAACAGTTTCATTATCATTCGCAGTCACAACTCCGTTCAAAATTCCAACAGGGTTCTCGCACTGTATTGCTATTAAATCAGAGTTAGTTAAGAGCCCTGGTAGACAGCGACGGCGCCTTACCTTCGCAACGTGGTGGTGGGCCGTTCCATCTTTCATCAATATCGCAAGCGAGTTGTGCCCGTCCAACCATTTCAAAACCTTCCTCGCACGTGTAGACCACCCTACTCAAATATCCAATGCTGTCGTTCACCAAGACGTATTCACCATTTGCAATATCCGCCGGATATCCGCATGAAATGCCTAAAACAAATTCAACTGAAAAATTCTGTGCAATCGGTGCGGCTTACGTTTGCAAACGGGAGGGAATTCGTTGTAAAACCCAGTTTCTAAACAAATTCTATTGGAAGGGCCTACCAAGAGATGTCCTTCGTCGCAGGCGTACTCAACGCTAGTACCGACGTTAAAGTTTTGCGCAATCATAGTCGAGTTAGGTGGTTGTTCGGGACGCCCGCAAGCGTTGGGTTCTGTAATTCAGTAAATATTGTCACGACATCAATGATGGAGTGAAATACGTACGATGCTGGCAGATGTAATTAAGGTGCATGCCACAGTCGGTATCAGACCAAAGCCACCCTTTGGTCCCATCGTAACGTGCGCACTCTCCGTTGCCAACAGGCAAATTCCAAAATGAGACAGTAACTTCTTCCCCGCTTAGCCACTTCCAACCAGCAGACTGCTGATCTCGTAACGCTCCCATCCAATATTGCCCGCTGACGTCGCTCCTATGTCTCCTCCACAGCTCCCAACTGATGAAACCCTGCAGCGCTGGGTTACTCTCATCGACCAGCGTACCTCCTCGACTCTTGCAGAAGCTTAGAGCCTCTCTGAATTTCAGCGGCTGTCGGTTGTAGAATATGTAGCACTTTCCGTTGTAAGTCGCCGTACTTCCTGGCGGTTGATCGCGAAACTGAGGACACCGTTCAATTGGCAAAGCTTGGTCGGTATACACGAAAGCCTCGCATATCGACAACTGGGTGGGCGCCGGTGCTTCGAGATGAACGCTGACGAAGGCACCCGGCATCGGAGGATTGCACGGAAGAAACAGGGGCTGGCCCTCCTCGAGGAAACCCGTGAACCGATTACACAGAGGATTCGTGCCCAAATCCGGTCGGTTATTGCCTACCCTCACGACTATTGTTGCAGGTTTATTAGGACCTAAAAATAAATCATATTTACGGAAACAAATTTTTGGGAAAGTCGCCTTGCGTAATAATTATTTCCTCTAAAAATTATTTTCCATTGAATTGTTTCAGTAATTTCGAGTAATTAGATGAGAGATTATAAACGTTTTGAAGATTGAAATGATTACATGTGTCGCGTTAATTAAGCGATTACTTAAGTTCATTTAAATTTCGGGCCGTCTGTGCTAAAGTATTTTGAACTTTGATGTTCTTCAATTACGACCGTTTATTTTCCAAAATTCCGAACTTGTCTTGTCTTGTGTAAACAAAGACAATGGTCCTTTTCTGCAAATCGTTGTAGCCTGGATGTATTTTTGGCCAATTGTTGACAAAACGACTGCCAGTGCAATTTCAAAGACAAGTGTGTACTGGTTTCAACAAATATTTACGACGCAATTTCAATGTTTTCACCGACTTAATTTCTTACACTGCGGTTTACAAGCGACAAAAACCGGTAACACGAAAAAAAGCGGAAAATCCGCCAAATTAAGTGAATTATCACCAAAGCGCGCAAAAACTTTCATTTCGTCACATTATTACTATCTATCAAACCATTTCGCCTACACGCTTTTGGCAAATCATTCTCAATTGTATTAATTAATTAGGTGTACGTTAACTTCCGTTAAGCACATTCGATCGTGTTTAGGAAAAAAAAGTAAAAAGAAAGTCAGTTATATTACAATTATGTGGTATTACCTACGGCTTAACGGTTAAAGTAACTCGCGTGCGGACTGTTATAAAGAAATCTATACGTCATCCGGTTTTTACACACTCTTCACTGTTTATTTTACTTTTGATAAAATTAGCATGGGAATTAGATTTTCTTTAATTGAGAATACCTGTTCGGTTAATTACAGAAAGTAAAGAAAGTTAATTACCGCAACAGTGTTTCCCAAAGTCCAATCTGACAAGCTGCACCATGTACGGTTCCAGTAGGTTGACGTACCACCACGGTGTAGTTTCTGGTTTGGTAAGGGTGCAGGTATCCGAGCTGAAGAACGCGCTCGTGCTGCCATCGATCGCCTTCTGCGGTATTCCGCCGTTTTCCGTACTGACTTGCATCGGTGCTTTTCCGGCCGCCACATTTAGCACTGTAAAATATTTCATAATTAATAAATTGTGCAAAGTAATTAATGGATCTTCAATGTTAACCTCGCGTTAACGGTTTCAGATTATCATAATTGTCGGTATTTCAAAATTTTAATAAACGGATGTTTTCTTATTGGCAAATAAGCGTAAGTAATATAAATTGTTGTTTACTTTCAACAATGAAAACCTTGCATTAATAATTTCAAAACAATCATTAATATTAAATATTTATTTCTAAATTTGTAGATGAATCTTCCATTCATTTGATTCCGAAGTATTTTTCTTTTGTTAATTTCGTTAATTTTGTTTTCATTTCATAGCACAATTTCAGTTGAATAACTGAATCGAAGCGAAACATTTCGATTAACAAAAACACAAAAAAGACAAAAAATCCGTTCAGTTTATTATAGTTTTTTTTTAGGTTTTGGTGTCTAATTGTGACTACAAGGGTTTCATTACTTCCTATTAAATATAAAGTTCCATACAAATTTAAAGATTTAACCTACAGGCTTGTATTTAGAGGTATAAACCTTGACATAAACCTTGAGAACTGATACTGGAAATTGTTTAACTCTTGGTATTAGATGCTGAAGCTTGCCGTGAAGGTTAAATGTGAAAAACACAGCTTTATTTATTTCAAAACTAGCTAGAAAGAATGCTTTGGCTACGCGACCCAGCACTCTTTCTTTAGTTAGGCGCATTTTTTGTAAATATTGCATGCCTAAAGAGTAAAGGGTAAGAATGTGTTTTGTTTATGTAGCAGATTCTTTCTGTTGGCAAGTTGTCGCTAATAAATTTTAGTAATAAAACCACGTCGTAGTTCCTTTACTGCAACATTTTTCTAATGCCATACACAGAAACGTTTGTGGCCACTGCAGCCATATACAACAAAAACCTCGACAAAAACCAAAACAACTTAAATGCGTTTTGGCAACGAAGCAGTCATCAACGTTTCTTCGACAAGCTTTTACGTTATATACAATACAAGTACCATTTATTGAAATGCCTCTTGAATTCATCTCTTTGGGTCATGAGTATAAATTTTAAGGGGGGTAGATTAGAACCAATGATTGTAGAGGACACAACACCCAATTCACTTAAACTGAAATGGTTTTGTGAAGTGAATCTCGTATATAAACTAACAAAAACAACTCAAAAGAAATAATTGCGTTTCAAAATTCCATTTCATTGAGGATAAAAAAGTGTGCATAATTTTAACAATGTTTTCCTCATGCGTCCTTAAATTTCTACCACCGTTTAAAGGTGTAAACCATTTTCTATCCAGAAGATGACTTGTAACAGTCGAAACTAGTCGCAAACAGCAAATAATGGGGAAGTTTTTGCTGTAATTTGTCTACAATCAAACGGGCGGATGGTTTTTATGACCCGAATGTACGTTTTGGGGGTTCTGCCAGTGCCAGAGTCATATGTTGTAAAAATGCACCAATCAATCAGGTGACTTTACTTTTGTAAACATTAATTTTGCGGGTTAGACAACGAAACTTTTTTAAAATAATGACGATTTCGACTTATTTTCCGATATAAAAATGGTGGGATATGATAAAATGATACCATTGCCAAAAACTACAATTTTGGATAAACTGGCGCGTTTCCATTAAATTACACTGCACATAAGATCTTAAAATGTTGCAAGACCACTTAAGGCAAAAACCGTCTAATTTCTGCAATAACCTAATAAATTCATTTTTTTCTCCTCGCCCATTAACCCATTTTTTTAATCGCCCAGAACCTCAATGGGTCGAATTAATTACGCCCGCCGAAGTTGACTGCTGTTGCCGCACTTCCGGCTATAGCTTTTTAAACTTAAAAACCAAGTTTCTCGAATTTAAATATCAATTAAGTTAGTTAGTGAAACGACCAAGTAGGTAGTAATGAGTAATATCGTTTTGACCTTTCTTGCAGTTATCGGCTATAAAAAGAAAGCGCGGTGCTATGCGGGTTATGAGAAAAGGTCGATGTGGGTTACCATGCCGTTTAGTGCAGATTTTCTGAAACAGCGTTTCTCGAATTTTTAGTCATTTAGGTTTTACCACGTGGCTTTGTGTCGCCAATTACCTTAGTCCGGTTGAACTACATCCAGGTTTTAAAATGTCGTTTACTTTCATTTAGCGTGTGTATTTTCTATTTCAGAAATTACCGGGTATGGTAGATTAAATATAACGGTGTGATGCGTCTAGGTAATTACAGTATTGATTTTTGTAGGGGTGCATATAACTTTCACGATCGTGAGTATGTGAAAATTCTTAGAAAATGTCACACTTTCCACGTTGTTGTAAATGAGGAAAACCATCAATTATGTCAAAGTGCATCCTCAGATAAACCAATTAATTGCCAGATTCATAAAAAACCTGTTAAAAGAGCTTACTTTTTAATAATGATGTTGTGCCAATTTCAAGTACATTAACTTATGTAAATTTTTCCTAAGTGGGCCAGTTGGATCACACCCGTAGATTTTAGCGCGTCTTAATATTTATTATTTAAAATTCCATACAAGTTCATCAGTTTTTTTTAAGTTTCTTTTATTATGATATTCAGAATTATACGTAGCCGTTTAACTACTTTTTTAACGGTTCCACTTGTCGTCAACATTTTAATTCCAAAAACAGGAAATTAGCAACTTTAAAGAATTAGAATAATCAATTATGTTGGTAAAGTGTGTGATTAGTAAGGATAATAATTATGACACATTTTGTTTTATTTATGTGAGTTTATGTTATAGTCAGCATGTCATCTAGTTTAGGGAAAGTTCCAAAAAGCATCGATCGACATTTCCGTGCTGGACTATTGTACGAGGCCATAAATGAAAACTAATGGCGTTTTCGATTGGTAAAGCTAGTGCAAATTCATGACAATTGTCTAATCGAACTGAATAATGAAACATAAAAATTAAATTACTGCCACACGAGTTTTACCAAGTCAAAACGTATCAAAAATTAGCTGCTGCCAAATAAATTTCTACATACATTTATAGTTAACTTTATTTGGATTTGGATTTTACAGTTTGGTTCCTATAGCGTTAAAAAATCTCATCGGACACCTCAATACTGGCAGCCTTCGTATACGGAAAGTTTAATTTTTACATTTAATATGTATATTGTTATAGCTCTGTCACTTCTTTTCGATGATTATGTTTTAAGAAGTGTCCTATCCGTATGGTTCTGTCACAAAAAAAAGAGACATGAGTCCTTCCAGTATCAATAATAGTTATTTGTACAACTAATTTTGAAAGTGATACTTTTTTCATGAATTTGCAGGTTGATTAATGAGGGCGAAATTTTTTTGCATAGTGATCCATAATAACCCACAATTGAATAATTTGATTGACATTCACGATTTATTGTCACTCAAAAATGGATGCTATTGTTTATAGACGGGACTAAACTCCATAGAAACGCATAGTAAAAATCGTGAAAAAAGTACCTACCACTTTCCAGACAATTTTTCGTTTAAAAAAGTCCGATAATTTCATCACTATGTAAAAAAGTACATTTTTCACACCGTTTAGATGATAAAATTCGTAATTTCTACGTTTAACAAACTTCTAAGGAGTGACCTATTTTAGTGGTACAGAACATCTCCTAAGTACCATGCTTCCTGTCATACAGCCTGTAAAGCTGGCGGTCCTGGCAGTCAAGACGGCTGTTAATGCGGCTTGAAAACGTCTGTACCACCCATACGCTACGATACGAGACTTTGATTCCCAGCGTAAAAAAAAAACTGATTATGACAATATGGTTTCTAGGGGGTGCTCGATTTAAATAAGATCCCCTCTTTCAAAATCAATAACGCACGTTTACGATTTGCTTAAGGTGAGTCAATGTATGTAAATACTTAAAAAGTATTTAAAAAAAAGTTGAAATGAACCTTTCTAACTTAGTCTCAGTAGGCAAAATTCTAATATAAAACAGAAGTCGATGGTTAATTGATTGAAATGACTACCAAAAGGCGTTGAGTGGGAAAGTGAAAAAATAGTATATTATATACCGCGGGACTGAAGTAGTACTTTTAATCCCGAAGGTAAAGTTTATGGCCCGACCGAAGGGAGGGCCATAATTTACCTGAGGGATTAAGACCGCTACTTCAGTCGCAAGGTATATACGATATTTTTCGTACTTCCGAAACCGAAACACTTAATATGTATGGAGTTAGAGAACGCGTTCTTTCAAAAAATCACTGCTTAACAAGTTATCATAGGAACGTTGCGTTGGTATGACAATCCCTATGCCATGGTAACAAAAATAATTTGGAAACTGTCATTGCTAGTGTCATAATTTTGGTGGTGGGTGACAAAGGTGTATTTGATATTGATAAAAAGCGGCCAAAGTAGGTAAAGAATTGATACCACCGGAATCCAAAAAACTATATGAGCAGCAGTACGATGCGTTTAAGAAGTGCCGCATACAAAATGTGGAACAACCTACTGAAATTGCCATGTTAGTAATTTCATCCTTCCGGGATTTTCGTCTAAATTTAATCCCGGCGGGACAAAAAGTGACACTTCAGTACTTGTCATAATGGAGTGAAGTTGTTACTTTAGTCCCGGAAGTACGAAAAATAATTTATCCCCTTGAAGGAAAGTTGCACTTACATAGATGCAAATTGCATTTAATTTTCTTGTTAAAAAAGTATCACTGAAATTTATTCATTCCAGTACACACGATCCATCTAATCATTCCGCAAGTAGGTTAAATTTCTTTATGAAATACTTTTAACTTGCTCAGGATGCATGTAAAGTGTGCTAGAATTTGGCGTCAGCGCCGTAACGAAATAACGGACGCAGATTTAAATGCTACCGATATTTTTATCATTTTTGTAACGTTTACCAGGAAATAATTCGGGTACGATCTTAGTTTGCAATTAAGTAATCCGCCAATTATAAGATTACTTACTGTTATTATAAAATTATACGCGCCAAAATGCTATTAAATTCTTCCAAAAGCATCGCCGGTAATTAACTAATCGGGGTTAAGCTTAAGTACCA